TCACCCATACTATCATCAAGAATTCAATGCATTTACTTGTCATTCATTTTTTTTCAAATGTCAAATCCTACATGCAAAAATTGATGATTTTTGAACCTTTCAAAGATGTTGAAATCAATTCAAATGCAGTGATGTTTAAAAGAATCATGGGTAAGATTAACAAAAAATATTGCGAAGCACAATGGATTATATGAACAAATAATGTGATTTAACTTCCATGAGTAACAACTATCAATTTGACTTAGAATACAATTAAGATGTCCCTTTCATAACTTTTTTTTTCTCTCTCTCTCTCTCTCTTTCTTTTTTTTTTTTCCTTTTTTTTTTTCACAGCAACACCCAAAACACAAATTTCTTCTCACTTTTTGCTTTTGAATCTTCCTCTTTTTTTTTCTTTGTTCAAAAAGAAATTGATCCTATTTTCACAAATGAGCAAATTCCTCAAGAATAGCTTTGTAAGAATTTCAAATAGTGAAAGTGCTAAGTGAAATTTTGAGTTTTTCAAAAATCAAGATTTTGGCTAGAGCAATGAAATTTTCCTTCCCATGAAATCTCAACTTGTTTGCCACATTTATTTCTATTCATCTTCCTTATTTCTTCTTCTTCTTCCTCTTCTTCTTCTTCTTCTTCTTCTTCTTCTTCTTCTTCTTCTTTTTGAGAAATATCATACTCAGATTCAACGGCTTTCAAATTCTCTGATAAGGGCTTTGAATAAGCTTATATCATGGTCTAGGGCTTGGCTAATTAGAAAGAAAGGACATATAAGCTCAAAAATCCCTTTTGCCCCCCCTAATTTCACTCTTCACAACCCAGGTTCTTGATGTAGGTACATTCAAAGAAACAATCATCTTGGCTTTTCTATTATGATGATTGCCTTTTCTTTTGGCTCAAAGTGGGTAACTAAAGTCGACTTTAGTGTTTGGGAAATAGAAAAAGGCCTTTCGTCATTGAACCTAAAAGCTCTTTAATCTGAGTATGATTTGCTATCCCTAGTTTGGTGATTGCTATCATCAAAATGTCTACAAATATCCAACCCTCAAAAAGGACTTTTATAGATTGTTATAAGGCTTAGATATGGCTACTGAAAGAATAGTCAATATAAGCTCGAAGTACCCAATTTGCCCCCCAATTTGCCCCCCAATTGCATGCCATGTCTTAGAGAAACTTTCTTCTCCTTTATTGGCTCCTTTATCCCCATTTGCTTCTTCTTCTCCCTCATTTTTTTTTTTAAGCTTCCACTTTTTTTTTTTTTTGAGCTTCTTTCTTTCTTCCTTTTAGATATGGCTATTGAAAGAATAGTCAATATAAGCTCGAAGTACCCAATTTGCCCACCAATTGCATGCCATGTTTTAGAGAAAACTTTCTTCTCCTTTATT